TTCCAGGTCATTCTCACAGCTTTTGGCCTTGGATTTGCAGAGCTTTACGAGGCACATCTTGATTCTCATTATGAGATAATAAAAGGATTTTGGACTTGGCACTAGGTTAAAAGGAGCAGGTAGAGTTCTGCCTTCATCGAAGTAAGAAAGCCAGAGCTTCGCTCGAGCAAATTTCCATTCCACGTCCGCGTCTTCCTGTGGAACAAGGGAATCAGTCACATACCAGAGGCCACAGCTCAATGCCTGGGCAGTGTGAGCAGGGTCTGAGTCTCCAGTGTTTGAGCAGATCGCCGGACAGGACTGGAGGGCTGTGGATGCGTCTGTGATGGCACAGGACAGGGCTATCTATCTGTAAGGCCAAGTACTTTTGAAGCTCTCTACCTGCCTTGGCATTCACGGTGGAAAAGCCCCAGCCAGGGCTAAGTTTTCTGCCCCCTCACTGGCGCACCCACTCGCAGCAGCTCGTAAGAACTGTTGCCACCGCAGCTTTGTCCTCCTGTCCTTTGACTTCACAGCTCTGGTCACTACAGCATCAAGTTAGTCGTCTCTTAGCGGAGAGTCACCCTAAGGCCTAAGGCGATGGGGTTTAAAATCATACATATGTGGTTTAAAAGTTCCTTACTAATTACATGACCCGAGCTGGGAATCACAGAGCGTGGGTAACACTGCCTCCTTCATGTTGTTCAGAGGCAGGCATCAGGTGTACACGCCAAGGCACCGTGAGCCCATCAAGGACGCGCCTGTGCAAGCCTGCTGGGGTGGACCACTAGGGTACAAGCCCACAACCAGCAGGCTGCCTTTGCTTTCTGTTCTAAGCCTCCACATTTGACCTGTGCACACTGGGGCAGGACAAGTGGATCTTGTAGACTCGAAACTTCATGAGGATGGGGTCAGTCCTTGTGTAGCAGGGAGACTGGAAACAAGAGGAAGGCTGGTACACTGGTAAGAATGTGGTGTCTAGAGACTCCATGGGTTCAAATCCTGGCAAGGTCCTTACAAGTTACGAAAATATGGTATCTGACTCAGTCGTTCTGGTCCTCTGTTGTCTCCTTTATAAAATGGGAAGAGTACAGTAATCTCCTGCATCACAGGCAGCCAGAGGAACTAAAGGAACTGTGCACTGTCTAGAAATATCTTTTATCTCCATAGCTGGCATGGGCCTTGTTGTCAGCTGCCAGTCACAGCAAACAGTACAATCCAAGCTTTCTAAGGAGGAAGCATGTCTTTGGAATGCTTCCAATCAGCCAACAACCCACCTTGGACTTGATCAAGAGATATGCCAGAGCTGAAAGATGATCTGTGTTGAGGCTGGCCTAGCCTGGGGTTCAAAGTCTGTTCGGGGCTGAAATTAGAGCTGGATAGTTCTCAACCTGCTTGGGGAGCGGTGAGGTAGGGTGAAGAACCGGTAGGAGTCAACAGTGGGCGAGGGCTGAGGAGTGTGAACCACTGGTGGCAGAGCATTGTGAGAGCCCAGTGGAGACAGAGTTTTCTCATTTTTAAGAGAAGATTGGTCAATGGACTCATTTAAATGCTGACACAAGCCGGGCGTTGGTGGCTCGCACCTTTAATCCCAGCACTCGGGAGGCAGAGGCAGGTGGATCTCTGTGAGTTCGAGGCCAGCCTGGTCTCCAGAGTGAGTGCCAGGATAGGCTCCAAAGCTACACAGAGAAAGTCTGTCTCAAAAAACAAAACAAAACAACAACAACAACAACAAAACCAGAAAACAAATGCTGACACAAAAGATCAGGTGGAGAGCCCCATCCTCCAGCCTCCAGCCTCTTTCCCTTGCCCAGTGTACGCCCCTGCAGTGCGGAGCACACCACTGTCTCCCCTCTCTGTCCTGAAACATGCTGATCCAATAGTGTGGAATGATCTTTCTGGGAGAGTAGGCTCCAGGCTGGACAGTGTCCTCTTAACACTCACTGTCCTCAGCCCTGACCCCGCGGCTCTGGGATGGGACTGTGTTTGCAGACAGAACCTTTTAAGAAGGTGCTTGAGGTTAAATGAGGTTATGAAGGCAGGTCCCTGACAAGCAGGATTGGCAGAAAAGCCACCTAAGGACACAGCTGGAAGGCTGCTGTCTGGACGCCAGGAAGGGCGGCTTCGTGGAACCATCTGCACAGACATTTAGATCTTCTAGCCTCTAGAACTGTGAGGTAATAAATGTCTGACATTTAAGCCACATAGACTGATTTTCCTTTTTTTTTTTTTTAAATAAAAGCCATATTAAACTAACTTCTTTATTCTTCTGTATGAGAACCATGAAAATAATCATTTCTTATCCTTTAAGTGAAAGACCCCTGTCCCTTAGCCCTTTCTTTCTCAAGTTTGTCTCCTCTTCCTCCTGTCGGCGGCTTCCCCGATCCCCACCCCCGGTGGCCTTTCCCCGCCCGGCCCGAGAACAAGCACCGGGTGGGGCCGGCCCGAGAACAAGCAC